TATTGGTACAAATTTCTCTTTTTTTCCGTCTCATATATCTGCTACGTGAATAGTTTATTTATTTTGGCTTTACCAATGTACATTTGACAAACATGGATTTTCAAAATATCATTCTTTGTGATTGTCTGAGCGTTATTTCGACCACTGAGTCGTAGATGTCAGCAAAATGTCAACTGTAGAAAAATGTACAAATCCTATCCCGAAAGGGGGAGAAATTAAAGATGGAATAATTTATCAAAAAAGTAGATTACCTGCAGCGTCTACTCGACTTATGCGGAAATGCTACATTGTGAGCATCATGTTTAAAATTCGATACTATTTATTATTTGTAAATTTCATCTTCCACGTCATAGTAGCCTCTGCTTTCATAAATTCAATCCGCATATTCTTTTATTATTTTCGAACTACACAGGTACTGATACTATTAGTGAGTTACACATGGTTTGAGCATAAAAAAGATTATTTGTTTAGCCAGTTTTAGCGAAATTTGCTGATTTTGAGTACAGTTTAATCTATATTCTCTGAAATTACCTTAGGTGAAAGATTGCAGTGCAAATTTATCGGCCTTCATTGATTTCACATTCTGATTCTTTTCATAAATTAGTATTTTTACCAAAATATTTTGCTTGTGTTATCATAGTTTCGGTTTTTCAACTGTTTTCATTGGTACCTTAAACTATACACAATTTTTATCCTTACAGCCGCATAGAGTGCAAAGCTGCATGAGACAGAATGGTTTCTTGATTATTCAGTTAGCTTGGTGACCAGGCTCACGTTTATTCACACAGACACAAACCTTTCATATGATTCTAAATGTTACTATATTTCAACCCTGTTTCACTTTAAAATAAGCGTGTAAGTTCAGTCCGGTAGTAACCATGTGCGTATCTTCCTATTATTGCACCGTTCATTGAAGTGCTCTATAATATCCATGTACTTTTCATTAGTTAATTTATACACCACCATGAAGCAAATCAGATTTGCTTCATTTTGTTAAAAAAATGTGACTTCACTTATCCATAAATAAATATCAAAGTTTTATTTGATGGTTGATGTGGAACTGCATTTAGATGCTGTCTGTGATTCCTGTGCGCCATAACTGTAGAATTCAATTAACCTGACATCATCTGCACCTCTGTATACTTAGCTAACTTGTAAGGTTTCTTAGAATCCGTATGAGGAACGAAAAGTATTGAAAAATTGTGTTTTAACAGAAAAATCATAACCAATTTTGTACCGTTTTCTTATCTTTCCAGTGACTTTATCAACAATTAAGCGTGTGAAAAGATGAAATATATGTGAATAGAAGAAATAATGAATTATCATGGAATTCCAAACAGTCCCATGGTTTGGGACTTTGAAGTCTAACAATACTGCAAAATATAGACAAGAAACTTAAGTCAAGACTGTAAGCTAACGATTCTCAACATAGCACACAAAAGAAGTTTGATCTACTCATCGAAATTTCTGACCAATCGGATGTGCTGACTAATGAGCGAAAGTTAACATTAATAATACCTCAGCATTCATATACACAATAGTCTTTCAGAAATACTATTCGCTGTTATGACAGTAATGGCAATAAGACTATGAAAAGATTTAAAATAAACGCATCTGGATTAAAATACACTTCACCAAAAATATTCGTCATACAAATTCCTTAGGGAAAAGTTAGGTCCAATTTGTTTTCCTCAATATTTTAATTAGTTATTGCTTAATTTCACCTAAAATATTTCTGATTTGTAGATTTTAAAACTTACAGCTTATAACCACTAACTATTTAAAAATTTTTCTTTATGAAACATTAAAAAGCTGAAAATTTTGGAAAACGTGAGTATATATGAAAGTAGCATGAAATTGAAATAAGTCTGATGGATCTATGCCCTAAACACTATTTAGCCTCTTTCGGAATTAACTAATATCACCCCACTATACGGTGCATCGGTGGAGTACCGGTTAGGACGCTCGCCAACCATGCACATGGTCCGGGGTTCGATTCTCAGCCGACGCACTCCTTTACTTCGCTAAGCCAGAAATAATGCTGGCAAAGAGGAAAGGTTGGGCATGAGGCTACCAACCCCATCCTGTAAAATAAACACTGGTACGGAGACTTCAAGCCACTAGCTTGAAGCAATATGTTCCACTGGGGAACGTGAAGAAAAGAAAAAAAGGTCCCAATATATCAAATAAGAAATAGAGGATTTATCGTAATACAAAATGAAAGAAAAAAGCTAGTAACAAACATGATTTTTCCCTACTTTTAGTTTTTACAGATACAGAATTGATACATTTTAATGATCATAAATAAAGCTATATGAGTGCATTTAGTAAAGCCAGTGTCTCTTCATAGTTATGGAAGCCCATTGGAAATGTAAGTCGAAGAATTAATTGAACTCCTCAATTCTTTCGCTTTTCTTTTAAGAATAAATATTAGGTAATCATTTAATGGTGTTGATGTTCCGTAACTATATACATATATATGCAGTGATAATGAAATTATTCTACTTGTGGGAGTTTAATTTCGTTTATTTCCCATCAAGGTCAAACAAATAGTACGTACAGTTACAAAAACCAACTCCTTTAATATTCGATTTATCATAAATTAACTGATTTTATGTCATCATTTTTAAAAAACCACATTAAACAAAGAAGCTCAATCACTACGTGAGAAACAATACCAAAAGCAATTTTGCAGTCTCTGAAATTAAACAAGATAAAGCGTAAAGTTATTTTTAGGCTTAGACATTTTAAGGTCTAAAGTAATACTAATTTTCATGCGCACTTGCATCTCAAGCATTGCGTGTGGTCATTGTCTATTACGAGAACGTGTTAATGACTTCCTCAAATAAAAAGAATACTACTAGAAAGAAAACATTTAATTCAGGAATATTTGCTAAGATTTTTCTAACAAAATGTAGAATGTATACATTTACATTGACTGACCCAACATTGTCGTGACATCAGAATGACCCTTACATAACACAGATTATTTTTATAAAGACAACGTTTTTCAGACAGTTAGGAATTGGAAGTATAACCAGAAAACAAACAACGTATATTTTCAGTTAGAGGGTATTTTACTTGAAAATATTTTTGAATAAGGTGCAAAGTTAAACTTTCGACACCACTGACAACCAATCAGCAAACGACCTTGAACGAACCAATCACATTAAATAGGCTTATATGATGAATGGAAACGTATATTTATAGAAAAAAGCATGAAAAAAGGATAAAACAGTTACAAGGGGTATTTTTCTCGAACATGTGAGAGAAACATCTCCCAGTTTAGCATGTGACTGTCAATGGGGAAGTCACACCACATCCTGTACTTATATTCATCTGAATGGCTATAAATGAGATCCTTTTGAGATCGATTTATTGCCCTCACCCTGTTTTTCAAGCGGCCCCAAAAACCTTAAGTGGAATTCGTATGAGTCCTCGTAATGGGATCCACCCAGCGAACAAGTGGTTTTCTCTATTTTACACGAAGCAATATCTCTGCAATGCTGGTACCACTACACTGTTGAGGCGAGACTATTCTCAGTATCGGCAGCTGCTGCTCCCACCGGCTGTTTCAACACCCAGTAGTTGCAGATATAAAAAATCTGGGTTAGGGAGAGATGCGACCTAGCGAAAAAAGCTCCTACGAAATATTAAAATTATTAGCTTACCCTCTCTAATATTAGCATGCTTCAAACATATAGCACAACGATGAACAAACCCATCAGTTTATCTGCTGTAGCTTTTTAAAGTCACGGTACTAACACAAGAACAAGTTCGCTCCTTCCGGAGCAACTCTTGATCCAGGCAGTACTGGAAAACACTGTCCTCCTCGAATTGTATCCGTAACCTTGTAAGGTCACGTATTAGAAATGAATCAAGCGCTTTACAACATTGAACTACTTTCGTGAATCTCATTGGATAATTCGCTGATTGGTAGTTACTGACGTCGAAAGTTTAACTTCGCCAACATCCATTGCAAAACACTTAATAATGTCAGGTCACAAAATCAATATTAATGACTGTTTCACAATTATATCACATAACTCTAATTCAAGGTTATTGAAGGCAATGAAAGTACTTTAGATTAATCACATACAGCATAAGCTGTATGTACAGAAATCAATTTACTTCAATCTTCGCCTACCCTGGACTACATGACCTATCATTAGCATGTACTTTTGTTTTTTATTTAACTGAGTAATTGTCATGAACATTATTTTATTATTGTTAACCATGTTAGGTGTAAAGCGGTTGTAAAAGAAACTACGAAATGGTATCATCTCGCGAAATTTGTCTTCCTAATGCCTTATTCAAATTTCTCAAATGGACTAATTGTTTTACTTGAAAATTTATGTTTAGTCTTAATTCGAGGCAAGAAAGGAAAATAACCACTAGGTTAACTTATACCGACTGAACATTTCAAACAAATATAGACATACCATATTAGTTTGTCTATTAGATGTATCACACAGTGGTGGATGACGTTTCGAACACCATTTATTGTTCATAATCATATCAATTTTGTAGACAAAATGTAGACATTATCTGCGGGGTTTCTGTGACCTTAAGATATACCAGTGAATGAAATTCTCACTTAGCTGTAGATCACTATTTGCGAACTTGATATTTCACTATCTTTATGCATCGAAAATAACTAGTTAGGGAATGACTGCTATAAGTAAATTTAAAGATAAAATTTGAAACAGTAAATGTATATGGATCACTAGTTTTTCATCAATGCATCTTATTTAAAGGTATCGTGAAGTAAAAGGGATTTTCCAAAAATCAAAACGAAATTTGTTTCAGAAGTTCACGTGTTTAAGTATCGCTCATTCAAAATGGATGAGGAATCGCCCTACGAATTTAAACATGAGCAGAGTAAACTATGTTTCTTTTTCACAGTGTCACAAACTATTTATCAGAAAACAGTGTCATTCTTATAAAATGCCAGTGAGTTCCATAGTACTCAAAATGCCTTCTAATAATTTCCTTTCCAGAGCCAGACGAAAAAAGTAAGAACTTTGGAGTGCATTGTTTCACTAATTTCACTATTTAACCAGCAGTATGCTATTAAACTTGTTTTGGCTAAGGAAAATTCCGGGGTAAAGAATATTTCAGTAATTACTGATGGTTTATACGATCTAAGCACCTTAATGATGACTCCAAACAAATTATTGCTAATTTCAAAATAAACTATATGTTCTACACAAAACATTGCATAGGTCATATTGGACGTCCCCTTCAAATCCGAATCCAAGAACACAAATCGGCTGTAGGAAAGCATGATATATATATATATATTCTGTTGTATCAACGCATGCAGATAATTATGAACTCTAGTTTGCGTGGAATAATGTATTAATTTTGAATAGGGGAAACACCAAATATATCAGGGAATTAGTCGAAGCCTAGTAATCAGGGGAATAAGCAATCAACATACACAGTACAATAGACTAAATTTAGGAGCCGATCACAATTAAGTCACATAACGATAAAATGTGAGTTCCAAGTTATTAAAAACGACCAATAGAGATATAAATTAACAACCAGTCAAGACAATGGTTGCCAGAATATATAATTGCATCATCCATGGAGAATTCAAATAACTTGGTTTAACGCTGAGGCATACGCTGAAGATGCTGTTAAGAAGGATGAAAAAAGGTTAGCAATTAAATTAACCAGCTCAGGGAACACAAATATTTCCATATCATCTACCTCATCTAAAATTCCTTCTCATTATCTCAAACTAAATATTTCAAATCGGCGAAAATCAGTTCTTATGAACGATTTGTGGTTTGCCTATTATGAGGTCAACTCGCAGAGGTTTATTGAAACTCACATTAATGAACCCCATTATAAACAGTCATTTGTTTTTTGGATATCAGCCTTGTTGCTCGTTTTAAGAGAAATTATTTAATATGAAAAATTGAAAAGCATTATTTGGAACTTTCTGTCTAGATAGACTTTAGACCTGTTGAAGTCTGAAAAAGTTTATAATTATTACTCTGCATTCAGTGATAAACTAATAAAAGAATGCAGGAAAAATGGTATATACCACCCTAACTGTAACCCGTCTAGAGAATTTCCGGTTTTTACTGTAAAATTGATTTGAAAATACCAACTAAAATGGCTGAGTGTTATTCAATTAATATTCGTACAGTAATGCAAGGTAAGACAAATACTTATTATTTTCGTAATAATGTAAAATGACACAAAAAATTCACACGAATAATGGCCAAATTCTGCCCACACATTATTTAGCGTCAGCACGTCTATTTCACTCATTCAATATGTCCTAGTAACACAAAAAATAACCGGTTTGTTAATATTTACGAAAAAAGGAAATAAACCCTTAAAATGAGAAGTTAAAACGTTGTCTTCTGTTCGTTCTGCTTAAAAATAATAATAATGCGGATGGTGATATAGTGATTTTCGTAATGTTCATCTTCTTGTGATCATGTGTTCACGAGAATACATCTTAATTCAACATAATGCGTGTCTGCCAGTAAATCCGGTCATATCTCTCCACTCTAATATGAATAAACCGAATGCTTTAGAGTTCACAGTCAGCTTCAGGATGTCGCATGTCATACCCTACTTACTTCTTGAAAGTCGCTATTAGTGACTGGATATTTGGATTATGTCTCCTCATGCTCTGTGAATCTCGGGCGTAGGCTAGTCGCTAAGTGCCTTTGAAAAAACTCTGGAGACATTTAAGCCACTGCACATGTACTCTGTCCAATGCAGTCTTCATCCCCTATAACCAGCAAAACTTTTGTGTGCAGATGAAAGCATGTAGTATCAGTATATTTACAGCCTTAATTTTCAGACCAATGTATAAAAATATATACGCATAATTGTTTAAAAAATGCATCAGCGTTTCAAAATAGAAACCTTGAATGTGAACTATTTGCCTCAGAATTTCACATTTATTATATAAATCAATTTCAAGACCAAATCTGTAGACAAACAAGCGACTGGGTGCCCGCGGCGTGTCATTTTGAATTACTACCGAATTGTTCAATGTGTGGCCTTGAAAAACCTATCTTCGAGCTCATAGATTTTAAATGCCTGCTTATGCTGGAATTTTCCAGATGTCCACTGCATTAATGAACCATGAAGACTACACATCGTATATTACAGCTTTATTGCGAATATATGATTTCATCTACTTAAGTGGAATCATACTCATAGATCGGCTGCAGAATATCAGACACCATGGTTGCGAATAGCTAGAAGCAGTCACATCAAAGTGGTTTTTGTTATGATCAAGACCAACTCGTTGTGATTTGAGCACAGGGAACTGATCTCTGCGTCCTACTGTCTAGCAGACAAATTTCTAGTCGCAAAATTTTCCATTGATGGGAAAACGAAGATCTTTCTTTAATAATTGTGTCGTTCTATTTAACAATAAAAGCATCAGAACTCAAAATTTCATAAACCATGCTGTTAGGCAGCATAAACATGCACCTAGAACCAAGTCGAATATTTCCAAAATAATGAGATAAAAATCCCTGTCCACGAGAATTACGCATCAATATTTCTCATGGACAGTGCAAGGTGAGAATGAGCTTCATTTATTAGGAAAAATCTCATCTTTTGACACACATGAATGCACACACAACCACAAGTTGAAAAAAATCAAAACTATAGAATCAACAAGGACAAGGATCAAATCAACGTGTGTTATGCTAATGTCAGGACAACGACATTCAGTTTAGGAGAAACATGGAAAAACGTTCCGAGTTCAGTTGAAACAGACAAATAAGTGTTAATGTCATGAATAGGCTGTACAAAAATTTTATTTGATTCGGTATATTCGAGAAAATTAACATAAACTGTCATAGAGTCTAAAAAGACTGATCACTCTGGGTGGCTCGAAAGAGATAAAATAATTCATTGTGGACAGCATGCGCTCTCTATACTCAGGCTGACGTTCACAAAAGAAGTTTACCCACCTCTTTTATCTGGCGTGGATGCAGTTTTGTACACTTTTTCCCCGAACTTGTTCGTATCCTCACTGAAAAAGCATGAATCCATTTAAGTGGCATGCAGTCTTGGTCACGCTTCATTTTCTTGAAAACTACTGTTTACAATATGCAACCACATTTCTTAAGCATCCAGTTCAGTTTATATGATGTTGGTTTCTACGCTTCATCTCTTAACACAATCACTCATCACGTTTGAAAATTTTAGCACTAATTTATTCCCATCCTATTTTACTATATGCAATTAAATAGTGCAAGTAATACGCTAACCAGTATGAAAAAAATGAATGCAAATCTCGGCTGAACAGCTACTAACTATGAAATTATCATGAAGACATTTTCTACTGGACTTTCTGCTTTTCTTCACCATCAAAAATTAGTTGACAACGTTCTTAATTGTTTACTTTTTAAGGAGAGAAATTATTTTGTTCTTTTACTTTTTATGAAGGAATGAGGCAAAGATATATTCAAGTAGTTGTGGAGCTCTAGCCAATGAGGCATGCTTAAATCATTGCGGTGCCGAAATCGCTTTCCACCAGAATGCTTAGTTCCATCCGGAGTCATCATTGTTTTAATCGTCCAGTTATATCAGATGAACAATACATGGACTTGCGCGCTGATTTAACTTGATTCCAAGTAAACGCTAGGCAATCCTTCAACGAAACGAAGATATACTTCAGATTATTACCTTACATGTAAATCCTGTAAGAAGAAGAATAAAGTGTTTTTGAACTAATCACGCTGAAAATGTTTGCACCACATGTTTGTATATTATCACAAAGAAAGATTTATTATAAATACATAAATAACTCAAACTTGTATTTATCACCCAGATTTTATATTTCTCCTACTGTTAGCCAACTGTGTGAATGCATGCATGCAGAAAACTTAAAATACATCTCCAATTAGTTCTCAATGAATTCCCTGAACAGATAAGAGCGAAACGCCTTTCATTATACGTTGATAGGATTTTTGTCTCAGTGAAGATAATAATGAGATAAATTACACATTGGAAAATGTAATTACTTTCGTGTTATTAAAAATAAAGAGTATTTGTGAGTGCTGCTGACATACTTCTTATTGTAATTTCACACCAGTGGCGAAACGTAAGTAGTAAAACTTTACTTGTATGTATTTCTATATACGAAATGTGGCTTTTAGATTCTGACATCCCAATGTGATTGTCTTTGATATCTTACATCGTATTGTAGCTAATTAACTGGTATATAATGGCAATCACATGCTTCATAAAAATGAGCTGAGTAAATTGTTTGCTCTGATGCATGGAAATATATTTTCTTTTATTTATTTACTAGATGTGCTACTCGTCGAAACATTTTTATCTACTGGGTGACTTTACGAAGGCAAAATATTATTCATACTGATAACAAGTGTAACTACACAAATTTAAAACTACAGAATTGAAGTTCCAAGTTTTTACTTTCACAATCTACTTTATACGTCAAAGAAGTCGCAAGAAGCGACAATAGAAAGTTGTAGTATTATAAAGTAAACGTTTTTATCAAAAGTAAACGAAATCAAACATTTCGTTCACTAGAAAATGCTTTAAAGGAATTTGGTAAGTCAGGTGTTTCAGTATGTTTAAAGATGTTACGATTATTATTTTTTCCGTGATCATTCTGATTGTTGTCTATAGTGATTCAATGAAATACAGTAAAACTTCACGTGTGTGTAGTATGTACAAACCGTGAAAGAGGTAATGATGCGCGTCGATAATATAAGTCATTGCGAATATTCCCATATACCTTTACTATGGGAATAGATGACCCTATTATCGTTTACTTGTTTGCACCTTTAACTGTCGATTTTTTGAAGGAAAAAGGTTAATTTATTTACCACAAAATTACTAAAGCAGAGAGAATGAGGAGCTTCGCAAACTCGAAAAACAAAAAATCTGGAAAATCAATATTGCAGATAACATGTGGGGATTATTCAAAAGTCATAACTAAGGAACCACTCAGTTGTGTGGATGAATGCAAACGAACGCTTTTATGTGGTCTGACTCGGGCCGATTTATTTTTTCTAAAAGGTATCCCTTTTATCAAAGCTGTTATTCCACAACTCGTTTCTTTCTTTCAGACACACTCGATGGTGAGAAAGTGTTATATTCATTTAAACGCCATTTAAATTACATCTTGATTCATTCAAACAGTTTTAATTTTGAGAGATTTCGATAACTTTACTCTTCAGAAAAAGATAAAGGAACACATAATTGTGATGATTACAAATGTGTTAATTCCATGTACACCATTCATTTGTTTGCATAAAATAAAACGAAGTTTTGACTACTACTATTCAAGGGAGAAAATGGATCTTATCATTGATTTACAACTGAACCCAGTACTCGGAAGCGAATCTATCGAGTATCATTTAGATGCAGCAGCAAACTGTCGTAATACACTCACGTTCGTATTGTTTTATTTCTCCAGATTTTCTGAGTTTAATACTCCTTCAAATTTCTAATTTTGAAGGACTACACAAATAACTGAATGCCTGTACTTACAACAATTAGAATTATTTACAAAGCATAGGTAAATGTCCTTCAAAATTGTCGTCATCCTTCAGATTTTTACCTAAAGTCTAAAAGTAGGAAATTGAACTGTCTGTTCTCACACTGTCTAATAAAACTGATTTCACTGAAATTCCCTAAAAAGGTATTAATAGTAAGTTGCTGATGCCCTTCTTCATTGTTATTCAAGAAGTGTAGACATTTTTAGGTGTAAAGAACTGCGATGTTGACAAATGATACGGTCAAAATTAAGCTATTAGATACTGAGTATGAATTTTCATGGAGTTACGATTATTTGAAGTAGGATAGTATTGTGCCTCCAGAAACCACCATATCTTGTTCGTAGGAGTAAGAGATCTCGAACAAGCAGTACTGAGGTTTTTTGTTTCTATCCATATTATGTAGGTAATTAAAAATTTAAGATTAACGTGGACATCACTATTTTTGCCGAATGACGTATTTATTTTGCCAGCGACATGACAATTTACGGGAAATTAATGCAGTAACGATGCCATCTCTGGTTTGAAAAATACTAAAATATTACTTTTTGTATGGTAATTATATCAAAGAGTGAAATCTAGACTAGTTTATTCTTAGATTGATTACTTTTACAGTATGTATCAGAGTTGTCGGTTCAGTATTAATGCATTCTGGGGTAAAAGATTTACTTGAACAAAGCTGGAGTTTTGTTCAATGTTGATTTTGAATGCTATTGTGTTTTAATTGTCTATCGGTGAAGAAGTGAAAATAACCGTATTCCAGAAGTCGGATACATTTTTGGCAGGATGTGAAATGGAATAATGGAATGTACTTAAAGGCTGCCGCACTAATTATATATCGTTGCTTTCAAGATGAACTATCCTATAAGCAATCTGTGGAAAGTTAGTTTTATACACTGCAATTTAATAAGACAAATGAATAGAAATCAACAAAGAAACTTAGTCAATTAACATCAAATATTTGTTGATCTGCAAATTTTTTTATTCGTTTGTCATATTTGACAAAGCACGAAACAAAAGTATTCGTGGTATAATATTTTTCTTCGATCGAGAGGTGATTTGGCAACAACTTTGCTACTACGGGGTCCTGTCGACAATTATACATCTCATCCAACAGTTATACGACAATGCTGCATGCCAAGTAACCCACAACGGGAAACTTATGGAAGCCTTCAATGTGAGGACGGGAGTGAGACAAGGCTGCATACTATCTTCCTGATTGCAGTAGATTGGAAAATGCAACATACAACGGGTAATGAGGAACAGGCATAAAATGGACTCAAATAAAAACTTGGAGGATCTGGACTTCTCCGATGATAGCTGTCTGATTTACCACAAACTAGAGGATATCCAAGTGAAAAGGAACAAGTTGGCGGAAGAAGCATCAAAGATAGGACTGCAAGTGAACATAGATAAAACGGAGTTGATGAAGATTCCTGGCCAACAGCAACAACAACAACAGACAACAATCAACCGGCATGAATGAAAGGAACCTGAAAGAAACAACCTCCTTTATCTACCCACCTGGGAAGCATCGTTTCAACTGCAGCTGGGCGGAACTGACGACGATATCAAAGCCAGAATCGGAAAAGCAAGATAAGCTTTAATTACTTTTAAGTCTGTGTGGAAGTCAACAGCACTCAGCATCAAAAAGAAGAACCGGATTTTCAACTTCAATGTGCAGTCGGTGTTATTTGCTATACTGATCAGAGACTTGGCGATTCATAAAGAGCATCTCAAAGAAGCTTCAGACCTTCATCAACAGTTGTCTTTGATCAATAATCAAGATTAGCAACAGGGATCGCTGGCAATTAGCGAACCAACCAGGAACCGTTTGTGAAACAAATAGGCAGGAAGAAATGGAGATGGATTGGCCTTACACTGAAAAAACCGTCAAGTGACATCACTAGACAAGCCATTGCTCGAGTGGAACCCGAAAGAGAAGCGGCGAGTTGGTCGTCAGTGCGAGGGTGGGGTGACTGGGAGGAGGACATGTGAGGAGGAGACGAAAGCATGTGGGCAGGCGTGGAGTGGAATGAAAAAGTTGGCAGAAAACAGAAGGAAATGGAGGTGCGCAGCTGAAGCCGTATGTTCCTCTAGGAATTAAACGATATAATAATAATAAGATTACTCTTCACTGGATTGTCAAAAAGACTGTTCGTAGTCTAATTTCATACTGCTGTCCATTTAACTTGTCTAGAAATTGGTGTTTGGTTTTGAGTTTTTAAGAAAACCAGTTAGCAAACAATCGTTTGAAATGATAAAAAGATAAAAGATAACTACCACAGTAATTTTTATAAATACTACAATTAAAGTGATGATTTATGGATTATGAACTATTTGAAAATATTACGAAGTATAAACGTTTTTTTCAAATTATTCAAGGAAAGGCCTGTAAGTCATGTTACCTATGACTTCAAACAATAAGAGTATGAATCGTATGTTTTACATTCACCTGCAAACAGTAGCGTCGAGGATTTCGCGAAATTTCATCAACGTAATAAATATGCCTACTTTTTAATGACCTACTGAATTTTAACTACTCATATTAATTGAAATCCCCAAAATCGGGGTTCAGAAACACTAAGTTTTTAAGAGATAGTTAACACTGAGTTAGAAACGTTTATGAAGCAAATGGAGTTATAAAACATCGTGGCCGGATGCGATCATCTCGTTTAATTCGAAATTTTTGTAGTAGATCAGTTTGTTTGCTGTCGTTTAGAGGTGTCATTATTCATAAGTCCAAATGCATCGATACATTGTGGAGATTCAGCGTAAGAGATGTACACAGAAACCTTAATTATTTCCCGTATTTTCTATTAAACAACAAATGCAGCTGCTTTTTGTAAGTAAATTATGTGATAGACAAATTCAGTGTATATCTCGAATACTGTTTAATCAATCTTCTGATTCATTAAAATCATGTGTAACTCATGAAAATTATTTTATAAAGCCTTTAGGATTTCATAATAAAATTAGTCTCGCAGCACTATCTGAATCACCATTCCCTAGAGCAATAAGCAAAAGTGAATGAGTGTTATTAGAGGAATCATTTCAGCTGCATAAGTGATGACACATCTGAGTATGAATGAATACTAATTCTCACATAATATTTGCTTGTACTTAAGTCCAGCTGAAAACAGAATAGGATGTACCATCAAGTGAATATAGGTATAAAACGTGGGCACTGTGGTAGAGTATAACTCCATTATGGATAAGATTTTATTTTGATGAATCACACAGTATTGTACAGTAATATTAACTGGTGACGTTTCGAGCACAAACTAATGCTCATAATCATACCAAGTTACTCACACAACTGTTTTTCATTTATATACATGTGTGGAATTGACTGGATTAAGGAAGTAGCGTTTCAGTCATCAATTGGGCTGTGTGGAATGTAAGAGTAGACAATGAACTAAATTGCCATACCTCGTGCGAATGCTATTACAAACGAGTTGCATATGGAATTTCAACCATTATGTCACTGTCTGGGAAGGATTTTAATCGAGATAACAGTTATGGATAAGATAGCTCGTAATCATATCAAGCAAGTTACACAAAACATTGTGTGAGCGAAGTGATATGATTAGGAGCAAAAATTTATGCTCGAAAAGTCACTAGTAAATATTATGGTACAACAATAAGTGATTTATCAAAATAAAATCTTGTCTATAATGGAGTTATACTCTAACACACTAGCCAAGTTTTATGCTAGTAAAGATAACAGTTGCTGGGTGGTTTGGCGAAATAAAACATAAAACTGAACATATCTTTCATTTAATCAAGATTCATATTTTCGTGATACAAAGATTCAACTTGGCTCAAGTTTAAGTACACAGCTATTCCAATGGGTCTTTCTGAGATAACTATGTCATGTCTTTTCTATCTTGACTTTAAACCAATACACTTTATGCTGAATTACCGTGGGAAATCGAAAGAGTTGACTAAGGTTAAGTTATGATTGTTTTATGGAAAAGCTTGAAAACTTTCAAGTTAGTTAAACCGTTGGTCTCTTTCACATCTGTAGAAGGCACGGATACAACACTTTCGTCATCTGAGACAAAAACATTACTCTTGATGACATCCTGTTTGTATTCAACAACTGCCGCCCTTCTCTGAAATTCACGATAGAAAATGAATCTAAATTATTCATTTCTTCTTATGGCATGTGCATCAGTTAACCTAATGGCAGATCTCCCAAAAGATCTCTGCACCGAAAACGCACAAGGAATGACCAGTTAACTGATATTTAGATCAGATTACGTATCTCCAGGAAGAGGAACTCAGTTCACTCGCTGAGCTTTCGAACAATAATTTTTTATAGTTCTGATTCGCTTGGCTTTGAGCTTTCCCTCCCTTAGACCTCACTTACAAAAATCGGTTACCCAAACCAACTTATCGACAAGAAACACAAAAAATAAGCGGTCTAAACTGGTCATTGACTCGGCTTCAAAGAAGACCATATTCACGAATTCGGAATTCAAAGATGATTAGACTTTGGGTTTGAAGATAAAAACGTTATCTCAAAATGGTTTAGTGAGATATTCATTCCTGCAAAACTACGAATGATGTTTACCGAAAGTAAGTTGTTCTCAGTCTCTGCAGAAGATAAAAAGCTTTATCTGACCGCTTCTAAATGCTTTCATCAGTTCACCTACTCTTGTGGAGTAAAGTAGGTAAGCCGTAGTTGGAGAAAACTTTCCACACACGACGAGAATACATTCAATCGTGTTTTTATAAGGGAAAAAGGAAGGGTGTGCGAAGCTCTCTTCTTTAACTACACTTACCCTGACTGTGGTTTTAAGGTCATCTATCAAATTCATGCTAACGTGCTGCGTTTTCTTCGCTCTAGACCTCCATAGAAAGCACAGGCTTTGACGATTCATGAATTTAAGCCAGACATTTTGTACTGAAGAAGTATGTTCAATCCCAATTTCCGCCTTGACCGCAAAGGAATTAGCGGTCATTTTAAATTATTTGATTCAGTTCATCTATATAATTTCACTCATTACTACAATTACCATTATTATTGACCTTACCGTTCTCAATTTGAACTGTTTACGATATTATTTCACCCTTCCCATTTGTCATTCTGAATCCCAAGTTGTTTTTGCACTGTTGAATTATGTATCATCAAATTTCATACCATGATGTGCAACGTTTTAAATTTGCCTACTAATCCTATAACTATACACCTTATTCCAACATATACACTTTTTATGAACTATTCTACATATTGCATCATTTGTTTTGCCTGCTGACACTTGACATTGAACTATGATTATGCTCATAAACGTTTTAATTGCATCTTATGCGTTTATTGGTTTTTTATTCACAACTGTGTATAAATCCCATCATGGAATATAATTTCTTAGGGAAACAATCACATATCCTAATTGTACAGCTAGATAATAAAGTTGGCGAAAAGAATGTCTCCTCTGAATATTGTATTCTAAATTGTACAATGGGAATAATGAAATTATCGTTGGGTTAGATGGTTCTGCAGCTGGCTCGCTTTGAGACTTCCTGACCTGCTGGCATTCATTCATGGCAACATTGAAATATTTATAGCCACTCAAATTGTGATGTGAACATCCATATTTGAATCACCTGTTGATTTGTAATGACTGTGACGTTAAATAAGAGAACTTGTCATAAGATATTGAACACCAGAAAACTGAATAAATATTGTCAGGAATCCTTGCACTTTAGGCATTTTAAAATCTTTCAGTAAACTTTATTACGTTAAAATAATTCCGCAGTTTTTAACAAAAAATCAAAAAAAGATCCTTCTGAATGATTCACTGTGTAAGGGACGGCTCTTTGAACAGAATTCTGGTGATTCAGTGGTAAAAATATTTCAAGAGCTCCGTAACATCTTCGGTCTGAATATATTTTTAATCATGATATTTCCCAATCTGTTTTGATGCATAAGACGAATAAAAACTTTATGAACATGCAGTATCATTCAAAAATGAAACTGGAGCTAATGGAGGAGAGCTGTAGATGAGGTGGATGATTTTGAAGTAGTCTTGTTCAGTTATTCAACTGATATGGTCAGGAACTTCAATTTTCAGTAGATAATAATGTTTCACTGTGGATTAATATACAAACACAGTGTAAAAAATTAACAAAGATATTAAAATTCATTTGTCTTCAAACGTTTTCATCATCAAGCAAGATATCATTCAATTGCTATTTATGTTCTGTGCATTGAAAAGATTAACGTATTTTTTTCAACATTCAGATAATCGCTGTAAGTTACATTATGAAAAAGGATACGTTCAATTCATCTTGATTTTTCAGGAATGGTTAACTCTTTTAATATGTATAAGTGGTATGAAAATATTTCAGGGAAAATGCAAAAATTTTTTCCAAACAAAATAAAATCCCTTTGATTCCTTCAGAGGATTTATTGACACTAGGTTTTAATTACAAGAAAATTAAGGAATAAAAAAGTCTGAAGTATTCATAGGCATAGAACGTTTTTATTTTTCAGTATTGCTTCGTCATCTGAAACTGTTTCTCAGTGGTTCACAACGAATTTTCTGTCGCAAGGGTTAAAAGAGACATCTTTCATATTTGAGAAGATGAATGTTATCTGCAAAAAACTTACCTATTTTTAATCTAGACAAATGTAAGTCTCATTTGATTCAGTGCATCAGATTATAAAGCTGCTTATGTGATCATCCAGAAGTCGTTAGCTGATGAGACATACCAGCTTACCATGAATTTATTTGGGAATGCACAAACAGGCATGCAAAATATTCACAGTAAAAATAGATTGAAAATATTTCCTTACATAACACATATTAAGGGCTTAGATGCATTTTGTCACCATTTTGTACGAGTTCAAACGCATACTGCGTAGATTGATTTATTTGTCTGCAAAACAGGTTTCAATGGAAGAGCCTGCAAATGTGTCACTGCTTGTATTCACGTGCATGGTGTATTTACAATGTATTGTCAAATGTTACTTATTACATTATGAATGTGTACTTAGGCACTATTTCCTTTAGTACAAATATCGTATCATTAGGGATGATCTAATTGAAACAGATTCGTGTACGAGTTCTTAATTACTTTGAGTGAAGCCAAATATTATAAAGATAACCTGAATAAATGACTATCATCTGTGATCCTCACAAAGTATGTGGTAAGTGAATATTTGCTTTTTGTTTCACCGACGACTTTTCAAATATTTCTATATCTTGAAGCTATCAGCTAGATCAGATACTGCTCAAATATTCCGCTGAAACTGCAAATGTATCAGCAGGAATAAATGCACTACTTTTTTAGCGTTATCAGCACTATCTAGTAAAATGTACAGACACTGTATGTTAAGTTCCGAAGATAAGGAAACAACTCATAGGTAGTTATTGTCTGAGATTTACCGAGACAATATGGGTATGCTTGTTTAGTTTACTAGAAAGTGAAATCATTCAACCTTAAATAGTAGACGCCAAAAATGTAAGATTTCAGCTGATTGAACTGCAATATTCGAAATCAGATAATGTGGTGAAAAAAGTCTCTGCATATTGATACTGCCCTCAGGTTTACTGTGTGTCCAGAAATAAAAGAAACTAGTGATAAAGTAATTCCATTTAAGGTGTGTTCACTACACATCCTTCAGATTTGTCACAACTCCCAGGTTTATTTAGGGTACATTATCAGAATAAAATACCATAATAGACGATAAAAACCTTACAAGTAGGAACGTCAGCAGAATACAAATGACGTTTATGAGGTCAATCCGGATATAAAGTACTCCAGTTCTCCATGTTATGTTCAAAAGTTGTCGCATAAAACGTCGAGTATTACCACTTTCAGCTCAAAGCACAGAATGAAGTGTAAATGTGCCTGCAGAATAAAGTCGTTCAACAGTGGACTTCAATCATGCAGCTAATGCCTGCCAATTCACTTTCCAGATGTCACATTTTCAAATTCAACTGTTTAACTTCGTCATATGTTTAACTATACTCTAAACTGATTTAAGAGGGAAATATCTTCACACATATGTATATCAATATCTCAGCAAAAAAGGCATGCTACATTAACCTTACGTGCCAATGAATGGCTCATCACCTCTGTGGTGGAGGAATTTTCACTCATTGTGTATGGTTGTCACTTGTCCCTTTCTGCAACAATTTTGACATATGTAACTTTCGTTTATAATGTTATTGATTCAATTACTCATCAGTTTTACAAGACTGTTACATTTGGCATATCAGTGTCTGATTAACGTTCACGTACGAGACATTGCCTCTGCAGTTCCTCTGTTATGTAGTCTGAATTACACCTGATATCAATGGTCGGCCTGATAATTTTCGGCTGCCGATATCACATGTTGAGAATTTCGTACTTGTACCAAAATACTATTTGGAATCACGCTTAAGTGAAATAAATAGCTCTAACACCTAATTATTGATGTTTATGTGACTAGTATAATCCTGTGCTAAAACTGTGATACATATCAGATTGAAGACTCCTTCGAAGTTGTTGCATTTAGTATTCAATCAATCACAATTTAAATTCAAAAAATGTGATTCTCTAGATCCGGGTGTATCTACAGGAATCTACGACCATATACAATATGAAAATTATTTTTAACTATGGCGCTTGTAGACGTTGAAATCACTGGTTTTCAAGTACTTCGGAAGATTTGAATGAGTATTGATCTATGATTTACACCTGTTTAATATTTTAAATAGTGTCTGCCTGCAAATGTGAGTAAAATACTCAATTTTTAATTAGTTACCTGTTAGTGACATTCATTCATTGTATTCCTTATATTTCATTATGAGTTGACATTAGTTAGAGAACCATTGGAAAACCTGGGAGTACTGGACAGCTGTTTCGCTCCAGTTTTTGGACCCTTCATCAGTACGCACCCACCCAGGACCTTCTGGTTACAAGGCTAGCTCGTATACCATTAGGCCACTGAGACTCGATCCAATGACCAGCCCATGAATTATAACTTCTGCCAATTCACGACATAGCGCGACCCCTCGCCAATGTCTTCCGTTGCGACTATTTGTCCTCACACCCGACCTACTGCACCCTACTGGTCTCCTGTAACCAGTCAAATTTCTATAGTCTGGACTGCTTCAATGCACAACCGATTTACTATTGGAGATTGAGTAGATATTGTTTCATACTCTGCTCCAGTTGTTTTCTTTCAGTTATTTAAACAATTAGTCATCTTTTTGTTCTTCCGAATTGCCTGTGTCTGAGCGCAATCCTACCGTTTTACCCATATGTAATAGAAAAATTGCAGCAGTTGATGCTGACTGCACAAATCTTGTAATATAGTTTATATCGTGTGACACTAACGAATTTTCTCTAAGAAATTTTAAAGATTCATTGACAGTGAATGGAGAAAACTGAGATATATTAGCTTTTTTGTGTCACTTTGCTTCCAGATACTTTAGGCTTCAACAACGTTTTCACAGTTTAAATTTAGCTTCATATGGGATTAGAAATGTCCATTGTATGCAGATGAGTAGAATGTGAAAGTTAGGTGAGAGGATGACGAAGCAGTGAGACTCCTGCTGAGTTATATTTGTTTGGGTTAAATCTGTTTTTCTAAAGCTGTAATGTTTTTAGTCTTAAATAAGTAATACGTGTATTTAAATGTTTGTTACTAATTCAAGCCAGCGAAAACTCCATGTAAGTAATGTTTTATTTGTTTATCCTGTAGATATAAGTAACTTATTTACCTGGGCAAAATTAAGGGACGTTTTTTCATGCAGGCTTCATGGACAGACGTATCGTTTTTGCCATTTGTGGGATTTTATTTGTGTATGCAAGGTTTTATGTTGAGAAAAATTATAATTAAGTTAATTACTTTGTCGCCAGTTATAGTGAAATTCAATCAGTTGGCATTTAATACCAAAACTTCCCCTGTTCGTATGTCAATCGAATTTTCAATTTACAAAACAGTCATTTCTGAATTCACTCGATGGTTGAAGCATTCATGAAGACATTTAATTATATCATCTCGAAACAAATTACCAATAAAGCATCTCAAAATTAAATTCATTTAAAATACACAATGCTGATATCTATTCAAAGTTACATTTTTCTAACTGGTTTACTGAGAAATCAGCATTTCTTGAAGTTCGCTTTCAACGCGTAGACAGCCAAATATATTCTGTTATATACAACAGAGCTTTAAAAAGCTTTCGTATTCGAAACACCACAGTTGCTGGACTACAAAATTGATATTAAAGTTTTGAATTCAATTTCTTCTGTATACCTCTACATCATTTTGCACTGAAAAGAGGTTTCATACTTCCATTTTTTATATTTCGTTTCAGAGAGAAAGTGCTATATATATGGCCTCCAGCTCAGTTGTTGTTATTATCGGTCCAATCTAATTGCACTTTGGCTTAAACAACAATGTTCGCTTTTAACTACATTCAAATTTATTTGTAACTTTTTAAAGTTTCCGGATGTGCTTGTTGATATAAATTTAAATAAAGTGTTTATTTAAATTCATATTCAAGGTCTCCAAGCTCCTTGCTCCCATATCGGTAAACACCATCGATTGATCGTTCCAGTCTTAATGCAGTCATAATGTAACAATAGAAGACAAGGGCCGGAAACAGATCGTTTTATTGCGAAAATCAACACGTATTTATATATATTTTATATACATTTTTATAGCTTATTCAAGTAGACAAACGCAATCTTCTGATTGGTTGTTTCGGGTAACCATCGAAAAGTAGAGCCATTTATCTGCGAACCATATTTGCCCACGTTAAGTTTGCTGTGACTGGTTGTTGAATCAGCCTTGTTCATATTTTCTCACGGTCAATATTAGTGACCCAGACATTGACGTAGATTAATGTCTACCGATTGGCTAGCAGCCGCCTGCTCTCACCACAATAACACCACAAAGAATTTCAATAGCTGTGATTAAGGAATCAAATTAAAAATAACTATTTGTTTGTATTTCGCACAATCAAACGTACAACACAGCTAATCTGTAACATAGATATGGGGAGTTGCTGGATTCACTAGATATGCAAATAGTTGGGTTGATTGTAAATAAGTGAATTTTTGACATATGTTTTGATAGAAGGCTACAGAATTATCAAGCGATATACCCTTGTCGACGCATTCATGCCCTGGCATTGATTATTACTCCGATGTTTTTGTAACAAAATGTTGTAAGATATACTATAACTTGTCAGATTAGAGAAGACTCTTTCTTCCAATGACAAACATTAGAGTGGGTGAATTTATAAAAAGTTATTGTTATAAACAGACATAAAGACTACCTTCCATTTCTGGCTAAGAGATAATGGCTAGTGCGAAATTCAAAGAACATCGTTTTGAGAAATGTACTTCAGAATTTCAGTCACTCTTTCATGAGAAGTCGGAGAGTGTGCTTCTTCTGCTTTCCTAGTATTACTTTCCTCACGTAATTTTTGCGTATGGGGAATTTCGAAGACGTCATAAAGACTAAAGCAACATTTTGCATTTCCATCACTTTGTCACTACTTTATTAGCATTTTATCTGGTTGACGTTAAATGAAGGTTCTTTTCTTACTAATAAAAAGAGTCTGTGTAAACTTTTATATTATCCTTGATGATATAGCTCACCATATGTATATCATATCTCTGGGGAACCTCTTGAATAATAAACTGAGTTCACCAGAATATAAATAACTGAACAGTCATCTGAGACAAGTTGCTGGCCTATCTGATAAAAACTTAGTGATATACACGTCAATTTTTCATTGCATTCAAAGCAAACTTTAGCGCTCATAAAGCAAAAAGATGTTCACATTTCTTGTAAATTTAATTTGATTTAGTGGTGCGACAAATACGAGGTTAACTTTTATATGTCTTCGTCTTCACAGGTCTTTACATGTCTTCTGCCCGATTTCGGACTGACCGGGCCTATTCGAATCCATAAACTACCGAAATTGTTTACCCATCAAAATCCTTAATTTCATCTTGGACCACCATTGTTTTATTCATCCAGTTATATCAAATGAACAATACATGAACTTGTGAGCTGATTTAACTTGATTCCAAGTAAACGCTAGGCAATCCTTCAACGAAATGAAGATATACTTCAGATTATTACTTATATGCAAATCCTGTAAGAAGAAGGAGAAAGTATTTTGGAACTAAATACGCTGAAATTGTGTGTACCAACTGTTAGCAAATTATCTCAAATAAAGCCCTAATTTTAGAGTGTCTAGGCTCAGTATTAAATATCCTTGTAGTGAAATGAAATTGTAGGTACTTTAGATATATCTACATGTATTAATACATAAATTCCTCAGTAAAGGAATAATACTGTGATTTATTCGTATCAGACAAAATTATTTTATTGTGGTACTACCCCCTTCTGAACATTTCAATCGTATTACAATACATACGACCAAACTAATACTAGACAATTACTATTTCATGTATTTCTCAACTAATTTCGAATACTTGAAATAATGTGTTTATGCAGTTTATATATATATATATATATATATATGATATTTATACTAAAGTTTCCAAACTAGTGAAAGTGGAATCCACGTTTCCAAAGTCAACTAAACATAAAATAGGAGTTTACAGCTCATCAGCTGTTTGAAGAAAGAGGAACAGTTTTCAAGCCATCCTGAGAATGCTAGCTGCGAAAACTGTTTATATCTAATACACAATAGACAGACACCTGCCAAACACGTTTTGAACAACTCGCGTCTGCGTCTCAGTTGAAATTGATACTTCCCAATGTGGTGTTCACATTTATATTCAGTAGTTAAGAAACTTTAAAAATTTGTAGGTTAAGAAACATAATTGTCAGCAAACGGAAATAAATGTGCCTGAGAGTGACTCAGGGGTTGCTTACGCTACAAACAAACGATTGATTCCTACCAGTGAACAATAAATGAAATACTCTGACCTTATCGCAATTTATATATGACTGATGTTCATACCTGTCAGACTTTTCCAGTAAAATGGAACATAGAATAAAGACGTCTGTAGGTTTTGGTCGAGCAAATTTTATTTGTAATCAGCATTTGCAAAATAATCTGAAGATTAAGCGAAATGTATAAGAATTTAGTAGACTGTATCGAGGAACCGATATCTCATAAATAGGGTATAGTATATTGGAGCCATATGGCTACAAAAATATTTCACACTTGATGTCCTCTGGTTCCTTATAAATTAGATATATTTTCGAAACAGTATTTGACGTTTTTCAGAAATGGCAGATGACAGAAGGAAAAAAAGGACTTCATTTTTATGTCGTAGAACGTCAAATGAAATATTGAGTCTCGTAGCTCTGGATGCAAATCTCTTCCTGAAACAAGCTGAATTCAGAAAAGACAAATCATGTGTGAATCAAACTTCAGCGCCATGCATCATCATCAAACGGACCGTAGAATGGCAGCCAGACTTGGATCTTGGCTGGAGCTTCTCTGTAAAGGCCTTCGACAACGCTGAAGGCACACTGATTTGAAAACTAATTTGTTGGCATGGAGTTCCTGATTATTATGGAAAGGATCATGTTGTGAACAGCAGTGGGAAACAAGATAGTAAAAACGTCAGGCTGACAAGAATACTTTAGGGGATATGGAAAGAGGGGTTTAACAAAAAAGAACTTTGTGCAAGAAATAACCAAGAACGTTTGGATCAATAAATGAGCTGAAAGAAGTGGATTGAACATACGTTGAGGAGACCGCTGAACGACATCGCATTCAAGGCTCCTGAGTGCAATGCGAATGGTAAACTAATCAAGCCTGATTCTGAAGTTGGCATGAGGGGGAACTTGTGAAAAGCAGATGACAGGTTATCGTGGAGTCGGGTTAGTGTGACTGCAGAGAAGTGTCTGAAATCGAGATGTGCTTTGTAGATGTATGTTCTACTCGAAAACTATGGAACAGCAATTTGTAGACGACGTCGTAGACGACATTTGCGTTCATTACATGATGAGTTTAGTAACCATACATTGCTCATAATGATGATATCTGGGAGCTTATTAATTAGGGCAAATCGAATGGCGGATGCATATTACGACACCATGAACAGACATCTTAGAAACGAATTCAAATGTTTGTTCATGCTACACAAATTCATCGGATTTAACTGATTTAAATACTTGTTTAGGGTCAAAGTAAAATGAAGCCTTTTGAAAAAACCACTACCATTATTTCATCAAAACACAAAACTCCAGTGTTGTCGCGAGTCATGTAGACAACTGTGAATGATCAGACGTTCAATTATTTACCCAAAGAATATCTCATCTTACAATCCCACTGCATATGACTGAGGAATACTCCTTGCTTGATCTGTAATTTCTGCTGTTTCAACTGCGTTACCAGTGGAAATACGGTGGTGTTAGTGAAACTTTTACAACTTTGACTTTCGTATATGTTAAATTATCAGGCTACAGTATATATTGGTTACAGATGCTTTCGCATACATGAGGCTGCTCCCTATCTTTACACCTCATTTTCATTGATGACCAAGAATTGTTGTTTCTTTATCATTTCTACATCCTTTCTTTTCTCACGGCTTACCATATTCTTTCAGAATCAAATCCAGCTTAATAGATGACAAAGGAACACAGAAAATTGACAAGTAAAAAAAAGAGATTGATTATACAAAACCTGATAAAGAATCAGCATTAGTCAACTTCGATAGAAACAATGAGATAAAAATGATGAATGGTATGTTTGGATACAAATCTATAAAGACATATATGCAAACAATGCTGTTGTTTTCAGTTAGATCTTCTTTTAGCTCCACTCTAATTTACACAGATTTATGTATTGAAATTTTAACTATTGATGGTGAGTTTGTGGATCAAATAATAGTAATAATGTGGTAAACGTTTAGAATGTCAATAATAACGATGATTTTAATGACAGAAAATCAATCATAACAATTAATTTGAAATTAATTGGTGAATGTTTCCTAGCGGTAGAATCCATGATTCACATTTCGTCTTATTCAATACTCGTCATCTGTAGGTATCTGGATTTCGCATGAGTAATGATGTTCTCACCGAGGCTCAAACCTAGTACCCATAGTTCCAAACACCAAAGCGTTATCCCCTTAACCACTTGGGCCACGAGGCCCACCTCTTGTGCAACGAGTTATAATAATTATTCAATTTGAGATTTTCCCATCGATTGATTGGACCGAAGTGCGCGGTCTCAGGTCGACGTGTCAGTTTCTTGTGCAGACTAGAGACCAAGCAATTCGGCCCAATCAATCGACGGGGAAATCTAAAATTGAATTAAATTATGATAACAAGGTTTATGCAGGTGTCAATAGAAAATAATGAAGGTAGTAATATGCGTATATGTAGACAATTCAAAAAAGTAAATTAGACTTACACTAATATATTTGTTCAAATGTCTACACATACACAT